CTGCCGGTGCTGCTGCTGCTGCTGTGGGAATCCGCTGCTGGTGTGTCCTTGAAGATGGGGGACGACGGCGAGAGTGCCGGGGACCGTCGATCATCCCGTGCAATACATCCATCTCATCCTCAGGCCTTGGTGGACTATGATGACCTGCTGCCGCTGCTGCGCCTCGACGGGTCTGCATGCGCCCCTCACTTTTGTTCTGCTGCACCCCAGGAACAATGCACGGTGGTGCCGCTGCTGCTCCTCGGCTGCCGCTGCTGTCCCATGGTGTCTGCTGCGGCCAGGGCCTTCGCCGCTGTCGCCGGGCTGCTCTGTAGGAGCTTCCTAAGCATAACTCACTATCAGTTTCTTCCTGCATTTCCCTCAGAGCCGCTGTGGCTGCAGCAGCATCAGCTACTGCGACTGCTGTCGACCCTAAAAGCGGATTCTGCAGCTCCTGCTGCTGGCAATGCTGCGGGCTCCCGCGAGCAGCAAAAGAACCAGCAGGGCCTTCAGAGCCCATGAAGGATCTTAAGAGGCCGTCGGGAGTCTCTACAGGACTCAGTCGCAAAGGACTCCCCCATACAGCCTTGGATGCAGAGCTAGGGGTAGAGCTAAGGGACAACGGGGCAACAAGAGGGGAAGCGGCAGCAATGCGAGGGCTGTTGCTGTTGCTGCTGCTGCTGCTGCTGTAAATCTGGGATGGAAGGTCATGAGCAGCAGAGACTGCCAGCTTCTGGTGCGTGGCCTTCGAGTCTCCAGAGGAAGCAGCACGAACAGCAGCAGCAGCGGAGCCGTCGTCGGCGTCTAGCGTCCTGCTGCCGCTGTTGCTGCTGCTGCCAAGTGAAAATGCGCTGCAGTCTGCCTCATCGCAGAGACAATCGTCGAGGCCACAGGCCCCGGGGCTGAGGGCCCCATGTGCTGGGGCCGTGGTGGTGCAGGTGGTAAGCAACCGGGCGTCAAAGGCAGGCTTCAGCCCTTTGAGGGGGCTTGGAGTTCCTGAAAGCTCTCTTTGGACTCCCCCTGGAGTGCCGGCTACTGGGGACTGTAAGGCAGCTGCATAGAAAGGGGTAGAGGGGTCCGAGCTGATGCGTGAGAGGACCCTGAAGAGCTGGTGTAGGCTGATCATAGCTGCTGCCTTAGGGGAGAAAATGACGCTGCGGCTTCAAGAAGGGCACTGCTGCTGCTGCAGCGTGCTGCTGCGGCTCACCGCGGCAGCTTGGTGCTGCAGAATGCTGCTGGGATGTGCTGCTACTTCTTGAGGCGTCCAGCTGTCAATGCAGGGGACAGCATAAAAACAGCAGCAACCTTTGCTGCCGGAGGCCAAAAAAAAAATAACCAAAATATAATTAAAGCGAAGCAGCGGAAGCGGCTGTGTGGAGCGCGGCCCGCGTGCTGTAGCTGCACTTGATTCTATTGCAAAGGATGCCGCCTTTTAGAAGAGAAAGCAAACTAAAAAGCTGCCTTTAGAGGCCCAAAGACACCTTAGAACACTCGGAGCCCTATAGCTTTGCCATATAGTCGGCAACAAGGGGAGGTTGGGAGAGAGGTGGGGGTGTGGTGGGAGAGTGAATGATGGGATTGGGATCTTTATGGACCTCAAGCGGAAGAGTAAATGGCTCGAGTCACACCAGCGCAATAAGTAACTAAGTAACAACCTGCAGAATTCCACTTGATGCGCTTCGCTTCGGCTGCGGCGACGGCGTGAGTTGAGCTGCATGTACACCTGAATGACGCCCGCAGGACTGCTAGTGGGGAGGTTTGTCAACGGATAAAGCTTGGAAGAGCTTCCGTTGTAAAGCGTTTGTATTTAGCGAAAAATGACAGTAGCAATGCAATACAGAAGTGTTACAACGCTGCACAGCTGTAGGCGCCGTAGCCCTTCGCGGAGGCGGTGGTGGTGTTGCGTGGTTGTCCTGGAGTTGGAAGTTCTGTCGCCGTTTGGCTAGACTGTGATAAAAAGATAGGGATAAAACAGGAAACAGCTATGCAGCGTTTCCTGAAAACCGTCAAGTGCCGCCAACGAGGCGAAGGTCCGACTGCCAGGCCGCGGCGGCCGCCACCTTGAGCTCCGCGCCAGCTACACTTCTTCCAGAATAGAGAAGCGGCCGTGTAAATGTGTCTTCTCTACGCGCCTGCAGCGCCTTGTCTGGTCTGTGATGACATATAGAGGAAGCGGTGGGTTGAAGTAAAGAAAGTGTGGCCACGACAACGCCCCGACCGTCGCAGAATAAGGCACCAAGCGCTGCCTGCGTGTGTCGGTTGTAGAGAGAGGTAAGGCCCTCTAAATCAGCCACAGAGAGAGACTAGGCATTGTACACGTCCTGTTCAATCTGCGCTGGAATTTAAGAAAGACGAAAATGAACCCAAAGGCGTATTTACGTAGCAGACCTGAGCTCCTGCCGGCCCCCGGCGTAAGGCCCAACCCAGGGTGAGCGGGGGGTCGCAGGATGGAATGAAGTTTGGTTGCTGCGGCAGCTATTTCGTCGCCTAAAAAGAGCTCAGCTGAATCTCAGTGTAGAGAGAAAAGACTTTAAAAGCAAAACAAACGAACAACATATAGCCCCGCTAAGAGAATCCCCCAAACAAACCAGCAGGCCGGTGTGCCTACGGATGGAGGGGCCGTGCGGGCGCCGCTGCCCCCCGCTCTCAGCCTGCACAGTGTCTGTACTAATTCGGCCTAGTCTTTGCTTATTTAGTCAGCTAAAAGTAAATAAAAGCTGAATTCTGCAGTTTATATGCGGTACAGCTCGCGTTTGGCTCTACATCGTCGGGGTGTTCGGCTGCGCTCAGCCTGCGCCGACGACGGTCCGTGCATGGGCGGCGTGTGTTTCTGGCGGAGCTGGCAGGCTAGCAAACCACTACTTAGGCAAGCTCGAGGAAAATGGTGGGATAAAAACTTGCTGTATGGATTTCGTCTCCTACCCACACTTACGCAACCGCCGCAACTGCTGCAGCAAGCCCAGTTACGGGTTGGTTGTTGGCGCACGTGGGAGGCTGCCAGGGGAGGCGGGCGAATGCAATGCACCTTCTGCTTCGCTTCTCCAAAATTTCACTCTTGTTTTCCTTTTCTGAGCGTCATTTACTAAAAGAAAAGGAAATGAACAGAATTGGGCCCCTCTCCGCGGCCAAGCCTTTCTTCAAAAGCTTACTGTAGAAGACAACACCAGAAAGAACCACTGGGCTGGCGTAGCGTTGCACCGCTGTACGAGTAAAGAACTCCACGTCCAAGCCTTACCGTAAAATCTCCAAAAATAGAATATGACTTCAAAAGAAGTTTAGTTGTCGCAAAGCTTAGTTTCCGGATAATTCTTCCCGCTTCTTGTCCGTTTGCAGAAATTCGCCACCAGCTGGAATCCACACCCACGACAAAAGAAACAACGAAAAAGGGCAAAGAAACACAAAGTATCCCAAATTCGCAAACTGAATTGACGCTGCCCTCAGTCTTAGGTATTTCCCCTCTTTTGTGCGTCTCCGCCGCCAAGCAGGAAGTGAATAAACTTTGTTCTGCGTTGGTATCTTTATGCAAAAGATTAGACCTCAGAAGCAAGTAATTCCCTCTTCGAAAGAAAAATCGAAGAAATATACAATTTGATTTGGGCTTAGGTCGTATTCTACGCGCCGTTTCAACTGCATTGCTGGGCGCTTCAGTGCTGACGTGGATGAGCATCAAATTTGCCATTTCTTGTTTATTATTTCACACAAACTACAAAATTGTGGCAAATGCTTTCAAAAATTAAGTAGATATAATAATAATGTTGTGGAGCGGCGAAAAGGCGCACGAAATCAAGCAACCGGAAAATGGAGAAAATATTGTGTTTATCACGCAGACTGTTTATGTATTGAATACCATCTTACAAGGCGCCAAAATAAAACAGAGTACACTTCCAGGTTTTTGCTATTACTAATTAATTGAAAACACGAATAGCGAAAGGGTCGCCGAAACATCAGAAGTTGCAGAAAGCTTGCTTGACGACCGTCCCGTTTGAGAGGCGTCTGCTCAAAAACTTTCCCTCCGAAAAAATCAAACGATATGCGCATTGAGAGACGCAGGCCGAACTGATTGTTGACGCTTTCGGCACCCCGGGAAACTAAAACCGTCTCTCTGGCGCTCAAGCCAACACAGCCCTCCCTACAGTTTAAAAGCGTCCAATACGCACTCCCGCAATTTCGGAGACGAATTCCTTCGCCGAAAAACCCTTGCAACAAGGCCTTGAGCCCTAAATCGTTCAAATATAAGTAATCGTACTTGCTACGCAGTGCGCGCGGGAATTAAAGCAGCGTGCACAAAACTGGAAACGTAAACTTTGATTCACACCTAAAAGGAGTTGAGCGTGTGTATAGCCAGGGTACTTTTATGGTTACCGCTCAAGAGCACTGGACACCAAAGAAAAAGAACAGCGCCACTCCATAAGGCGCTTTCTGATTTCTATTTTCCGCTCCGAAGGTACACTTGCAGTCAAATGCGTGCAATTAGCAACAGAAACGCCAATAGCAGCGGGTTATTTTACACCTTGTGAGTTTCTCCGTGGCCAAAGAGTGTAAAACAAACAGATCAACAGCTCAGCAAGTGTGCTAGAAAAGAGAGTAGTGTAGCTAGGGTCCTCTGCCGTCTTGTCAGCTTTGAGAAAATACAAATGCAGTGCCAAATGGTAGTGTTTCCTCTGTTATAAGAGCTGTTAGCCCAGCTCAGCTCAGCTGAGGCCCCAACAACAACCCTACTCCATCGCCGTGCGCTCGGAGGCTGCCAGCCGGCGCGTTAGGACATTGCTTCCCCCGGGGAGGAAAAAACCGAGCGCCGGAGTTTTATCTCTCTTGGAGTCCCACTATGGCTAAGAAGCCTAAGGGTTTCAAACCCCGAAGCGTAAACCCTACTTGGTCTTCACGATGAAAAGGATACATGACTACGGCTGCACCTTGCTAAAGGCAAGTAACACTGTGGACACATGCAACGTACTAACACAAACACATGAGACGTGGCCAACACCATTTAGCATTCAGTCACGTCCCATTCAAACAAGCCTTCATTGGTCGAAAATTCCAGAGTTGCCACGCGGGTCGACTCTTCCCCTGTGCTCGCCCGCTGCCCTTCTGCTGCTTTGTTGCTGTATCTGATGCTGCTGCATGTAGCCCTGCTGCTTCTGGGATTGCTGCAGACTGTCGCTACTGTTCTGATGGAGGTAAAGGCTGCACTCCGTCATCTGGGCGATGGCGTCCGCTGCCCGCTGTTCCTTCAGCTCAGCCAGACTTAGCAATTGCCTCTGCTTCGCCCCACTGCAGCATCTGGCCTTATCTCGACACAGCAGCGCCTCCTGTCGCAGCTTCTCCGCCTGTTCAGCCAGAGCCTGATCCGCCTGAATGCCGAGGGATATAACAGCACAGCAAAATTGCACTGCTGCTCGGAACATTTTTAAAAAAGCCTCGGCAGCACATGAAATGACTGCTCTTGGAATATGGAAAAGGATAGCCAGCCTGCATTTTCTAAGAGTGAGTGTGAGCCGCTTAACTTTACCTGAGACATCTGCGATGGTCCCAAAGCTCTTTTCTTGTTTGACAGAACAGTGTGCCCACGTGTCGAGTCATCGTGTTCTCTTGGAGTGTCGGGCATCGTAACTTGCTGCTGCGGCTGCTGCTGCAAGCTACGCTGCTGCTGCAGAGGCCTGTTGCGATCCTCGTTGCCCAGCCCAAAGGACGCTTCAGACCCCATGGCGCTGTTAGACTGGTAGCCCTGCCGAGACATGGAGCAAGGACAGTGAAAGATAAATAAACTGACGGATGAAGAGAAAAAACTCCATGGAGATGAATCTCCTGCATATGCAACTTCAGCTGCTGCTGCCGCATGATGCACGCATGCGAACTGGCAAAGCACAGAACTTACCCGGTAGTCTGGGGGCATTTGCTGGTGCGGCGGCTGACCCTGCTGCTGTGGGTATCGCTCCTGCTGATAGGCGAACTGGTGCTGTTGCTGTTGCTGATATTGGTGTTGCTGTTGTTGCTGTTGATGCGGCGGATATTGCTCTTGCTGCTGAGGGTACTGGTGCTGTTGCTGCTGCTCATACTGGCGGTGGTGCTCCTGCTGGTGGTACGGCTGTTGCTGTTGCTCATATTGGTGCTGCGGCTGCGGCTGCTGGTATGGCTGTTGCTGCTGTTGGTAGTTGTGTTGACGCTGTTCTTGCTGTCGCTGCTGCGGCGGGTACTGCTGCTGCTGTTGATTCTGGGGCGGCTGAGAACAGCCGCAGCAGAAAGCAACGTAGAGGTAAAGCTGCTGACCGCCTCTTGTTGTAATCTAAGCTTCATACTATCCGTGCTCGGCCTTTAAAGCTTAGCTCAAAACACACCTGAGAGCTGAACGACGCGTCGCTGCTCCCTGAAGGAAGACCAAATCGTGCGGAGTCTCTAGGGGCATAGGCAGGGTCGTCGCACGTGCCGTGCTGCTGCTGCTGCTGGTTCTGCTGCTGCTTCATGGCAGCAGCAAGGGCATGTGCCTCGTTTTCCAGTTTTTCAGCCATAGCCAAAAGGGCTCGCTGCTTGCCTCCTTTTACGCACGTGGCTTTGTCTCTCCTTTCTGCTGCTGCAGCAAGCAGCTCCGCTACCCGTGCCTCGTCCGGAAACCCCTGAAGCAAAGCACCAGCAGCACGAGCAACAGCAGCAGCGACGTCAACGTGAAGAGCAAAGGTAGTTGCAGCGCAGTCCAAATGCCCAGCTTTAGTATCTGGGCCAGCTTCTTCTGCCATTGCGGCAGCAGCAGCTGCTGCAACAATCGCCGTTCGAGCTGTTGCTTCTGCGGCCGCTGGCGCATGCGCTGGTTCCGCTGCTGCCGCTCACGGCCTGCGCTGCGCCTCTGGGACTATTCACATTCGGAAGAGAACCCGTGTCCGACATGAGCTGGCCCCTTGATGAACGCATGGGGTGCAAGTCACTGCCGGCTGGAGAGAGGCCCTCCGTCGCGGCCCCTGGCGCCCCGCCCCCATCCTGAGTGTCTGCAAGCTCCAGCAGCCTCGCTGCCTCCTGCTCCCTCATCTCGGCCACGCGCAGCCTGAAGGTTTGTTGGGAGCCCCGCACGCATGTGGCTTGGTCCCTGCTCAGCATCGCTTCTTGCTGCAGCTTCCGCGCCTTCTCGCGCAAGGATGCAGACGTGCTGTCCTGAAGCAAGGGCAGCGGAAGCAGCAGAGTGGCCAGCTGCAATGGCGCTAGCGCTATAGAAAATCGAGGTCTCTAAAGGGGAGCCACGGCAACAATGAAGCAGCAGCCATCCTTGAAGCACCAGAAGGTGCACCAACAGGAGAGTACAGCACAGCAGCAGCACAGCAGTAATAGCTGCAGCAGCGGCTTCTGCAGCTGTATGCAGACTCAAGAAATATAGCACAGAAAAGGACGCGCACAGAGGCATTGCTAAGGGTGGAATTGCTAGAGTGGAGGACGGAGGAGACCCTTTGTCCAGCTGCTTCCACATTTTGCTGGTGTTGCGGCTGCTGTTGATGTTGCTGTAGTTGATGTAGCTGCTTCTGTTTGGGTTCCGGCACACCAAAAGAACCGGTATCGTCCCTGAGATTGCGCTGTCTACGCCTTTCATCCATCCGCTCAATCTGGTACACGCAAGACAATGACCCCCAGCACAAAGTCAAAACCCTAAACCCTGATCCCTAGGCAACGACCTCTCGACACCACGCTACGAAGCATATAGTCTGGCCTAATCGCATGCATTTACTAGCAAAGTTTCAGCCAAGAGCCAGCAGCCGTTAGCCGAAACACCGCTATGCCAGGCTGCGGTTCTGGGGGTTGTTAGATAGTGGTTGCGGGGAGCCACAGAGGGAACAAATAGGGTAAAGAGAACAGGCGGCCTACAAATCCATTCATTTTGACAAAATAAAGTGAGACAATTAAAAAAAAACCTTCCGGGAGTGCACTGAAAAAGCAGTGAAGGCTGCTGGAGGGCGCGGACGGGGAACAACACTTCCTGGGTGGTGCTGCTGCGGCTCGAGGCCGAAACGGACTCGGGGGAGGACCAAATGACAAGGAAACCTAAGATAAAAAGATAAAAAGAAGAAGACAAACACCGAAAACCGGAAAGGGGCACACCCCCTCCTATGTGATTGTACGTGTTGTTGCTACAGTAGCACCCGCCTCGAGCTGCTGATGTTGATACTGTTGCTGTTGTCAGTTTGCTCTACAGCTGCAGTTTCTATATTGAAATATTCTACATATCTTTATTTTCTTTAACTCCGTTGTTTTATTTTTCCCGTGGCTGGGCCGTCCCACCCTTACACTGACTTCACCTGCAGAAGCTTGTACCACTGTGGTTGAAGCTTCAGCCAGTTAAGTAGAAAGTTGACTGTGTTTAGCGCAGGAAGGATTCTCTGTCAGAATCTACAATCATTTTTACTGTTTCTTCAGGAAATGGATCCTTAATGAAACCTTCGAGTTTCAGGGCTACTGCGGAGCCTGTGGAGGGCTGAGCTCTCATACAAGCTCCTATATCGCACAAAAAGAATCGAACTCTGCGTACCTTCAGTCATAACGTGGATTCATTACGGGCGTACAGCCTTACTTCCTTCATCGCTTCCACAACATTATGGGAAGCTGTGCATGATTAATTGTGGATGCTCTGACCGTGCGTTACGCGGTTGTGTAGGTGTAGGAGTTTCCTGTAGAAGGATCTCTTCTTAAAATTGTTTGGGCGCTGACAATCTTGTCCAAGGTTTTTTTATTTACATTTCGCTTACGAGGTTGAGCTGTGGTACCGCGGAAGCTTGAATGCTGTGCATATTGGGGAGAAGGCACACGGCTAGCAAAAGCCCGCTTCTAGAATTTGTACTTCTGCTGATGGATGCAGTGAAGACAATAAATGCCAACTTAACGCGGCGTCTCATGGCCTTCTTATTCCGATCTTAGCTCAAGTTAGCCCCTTTCAGGGCTGCGAGGCGGATACTTTGCCTGACGGCCATGCAAAGGCTTCCCTGCGTATCAGCCCCGATACCGCATGAGACGAGCCACAATCCTAGGCAGTCCCTGAGGTCCGGCGATAAATACCATTATTTGCGGTATGTCCGTGCCACTATAAGGGTGCCGCACAGGAACAAATAAGTCCTTTCTCGGGCGCATCGTGCTGCAGTATAGTTCCTTCTCAAGCCATCAAATTGCAACTTTTCGTCCTTATTGGGCTGCCATCAATCGTTCCACGTGCACATTGTATTCAATCAGCAGGGCACCGAATAACATAGATGAGCACAAGTCGTCCAAGCAACCTCCCCCTACGGTGAAATTCCGATGACTGCCATCTCTAGGAACGGTCGAACTGAAGTGCGCATAGGGCAGCCACGCTATTCCGCGAGGTTTTGCGCAGAATAATACGAGCGCAAAGCGCAATGATGCAGCTTGCTGAGTGGCTTCATGTGCGAGTGGACCACTGGCCCTCTGGTACTCACAAGCCATAGGCGAGCAAGGAGATGACTTAACTTCTCCCTGCAATTAATTTAAAACTGCGTCAGATTCCTGAATAAAGGAGGCGCTCCTAATTAGAAGGAAAAACGATGCGCGCTCTGAGAAGGCACAAAATGCATTTAAAAATGTTAAGTCTAGCATATTGAGGAACATTGGTAGGCTTTCAAAATTTTCAAAGGTGACAGACGGTGTACGTCTACCTGTCACAGCAGGTAGCAGAAATAGTGTGCAGATACGAATTGCTTGCTATCTTTGGGAGAATAAACCCCTACCCCTGGGAGAATAAAACTCCCTCTATTTGTTCGTCTGACAAATGCGTTGCTTCAAGGCTGAGTGAGCTTGTGCTGAGATGTTCCTCGGTAATCATTCGCGCAGCGCCAAAACCAGTGCACGAAAACCAGGTTGCACTTTCCCTACTTTTTAATTCAATGGCATTAGCAGGCCCGCTCACAGACAAGCACGAGGAACAAATTGTTCACGCTCTCAGTGGAACATGCCTCGGTACCACATATCACTGCGGAAGAAAGTTCGATAAAAGCAAGCCAGCATACTACAAATAGCATTCGAGGAGGTCAAGAAGACCTGAAAGAGTACGTGCCTAGGCTTTGACCACGAAGAGATACACACAAGTGCATACGAGTAAAATTTCAGAGACTAGTGCAGGTGGCTAGCGCTTTACTTGGGCACGGACTCGTTGCGTGGTGCCGTGCCGCAAACGCCTTCTGTTTTTCAATCCCCTATTGATCCTGCAGTTCAGTGAAGTGACTTTAGTTACTGTGATACTTCCCTGAAGGTGCAGATCTTACAACGACTCAACGCATCTCACTGCGGAGATTCGCGCGTGGTTCTGTCAGTATTTCACTTTAGATGAGAGACGAGAGTTCTCCAACCAGCGCTGAATCTGTTTGTACCTTTGAGGGAAAGCAAGACGCGGATCCTCTTTGCGCTTCGCACCTTAAGGGCCTTAGAGCTCTCAATTTTTCCTGAGTAGCCATCTTTGATTGCCACCAAGCAATCCTAGAGGCTAGCGAAACATCGGCGCCCAAATGAAGTGCTTTGCGAAGCCATGGCCTCTAGATATCAAACCCGCCGTCATCCTCGTCGTCCTGGCCTCTTTCTGGAGGAGAGGAAGATCCTGATCCCGGAAAACCTGTATGTCTTGTTCCGCCCTTGGGTTTTGGGGGAAGTCCAGGCCGTGACCAAGGTTGGGGTCCGGATTGCGTAGAAGTGCTAGGTTGCGGGCTTTGAGAAGACCTGGGCTGCGCATTCAGGAAAGGGCTTGGCTGGTTGTTAGGCGAGCCTGGGGGAGCTAGGCGGAAAATGCCAAGGCCACTGGAAGAATCGCCCAAACGTAGAGAAAACGTACGCTGGGGAAACCCACCTTCTTGGCTACCGCGAAGCCAAGCAGAAAGGGGGCCTGGGGAAGGACCATACCTGACGCGCATAGAGTTGGTGCGTCTAGGAAATCCCTGAGATTGGGGACGAGGAGACGGGCTCTGCGCGTGCCTCCCCGGAGAACTTCCGGAGGGACGTGAAACATTGCCTTTCCCGGGGTGTGGGGAAGGGCTGCGTCCGTTGTGTTGGGAAGGTCCAGGTCGTGGACTTGAGGATGGACTGTGCGTCTGGGTTGCAGAAGGGCTGCGCGATCCAGATGAACCACCTTGTGGACGCACTCCTTCAGGTGGTTTAGGGCCTCCAAAGAGGCGCACGCGTAGGCTCCCTACATCAACACCTGATGGGCCGCGAGGTCCAAAAATTTTTCGTTGCTGATTCTGTTTTGGTGCAGGAGGTGGGGTGCTGAGACTTGGTGTGTCTGTGCCAGGGCTCGGTGTTTTCCACAGTGGGAAAACGCCCGAAGAGGGCGAAAATGGCCCTTCATCTCTTTGTTGTGTACTTCCTAGCCGGCGACGAGCTCGCTCGCCACCTGCGCCAACGCGAGGAAAACGATTACCCCCTCTGTTCATTTGGCCCAGCGCTTGAAGCAGTTCCTCCCTTAAAGCATCGGAATTTGGTGGAGTTACCTTCTCCGGTGACGAGCCCTGACCACCACTTGTTGGGTATGACGGCCCATGTGGTGGTACCAAACGTGAGGACGATGAGGGCGGAGTCTGTGATGGATGCCGCGGTGGGAAATTAGCACCAGAACGCGAGGACGTTGATGTTGGAGTCTCTGATGAAGGCAACGGCGGTGCGGGAGGAATCAGTGGTGAGGAAGATGATGGTGGAGTTTGTGATGAAGGTAACGGCGGCGGAGGAATCGATGGACGTGAGGAAGATGATGGTGGAGTGTATGGCGGAGGCAGCTGCGGTGCGGGAGGAACCGATGGACGTGAGGAAGATGATGGTGGAGTGTATGGCGGAGGCAGCGGCGATGCGGGAGGAACCGATGGACGTGAGGAAGATGATGGTGGAGTGTATGGCGGAGGCAGCGGCGGTGCGGGAGGAATCTGTGAATCTTGTGAACTTATGGAAGATGACGACGGAGCTTGCGCTGAAGGAGGAGAATGTAAAGTTGAGGAGATGTAATCTGGAGACGGTGCTGACGGATCTCCTCCCAGGACAAATGGCGGCGGAGGCGGGAAATCTGTAGGCGACGGTGGCGGGCTTTGTCCTGATGAAGTGGAAGATGGGAATGGGGGTAAATCGAGGGGCGATTCTGGTCGATCTTGCGGCGTAGGGAATGAGGGTGGGATAGGAGACGACGGTGGGGGCGGAAACGTTCCAGATGACGGCGATGAATATGCTGATGCCTGTACAGGTGGCCAACGGCAGGGTAATTGTGGTGATTTTGCCCCAGGACTGGGTAAATGTCCGGCTGGTCCCTGAGGTGAAGGCAGGGATGAACTCCTGGGAGGTGGTGGAGGCTTAGGCAGCCTTGGTTTGTTACTGGGAGGCAACTTCTGCCTAGGCAATTGCACCTGTGGCGCAGGAGAAGAAGGGGTTGCCGGCTGTTGCAAAGGCGTTTGGGTTGGCGGCTGTTGCAAAGGCGTTTGGGTAGGCGGCTGTTGCACAGGCGTTTGGGTTGGCGGCTGTTGCACAGGTGTTGGGGTTGGCGGCTGTTGCACCGGCGTTGGGGTTGGCGGTCGTTGCACAGGCGTTGGGGTTGGCGGCTGTTGCACAGGCGTTGGGGTTGGCGGCTGTTGCACAGGCGTTGGGGTTGGCGGCTGTTGCAAAGGCGTTTCATCAACATCCATTGGGACCTCGGTGTCGTCCGGCTCTCCCCGTCCTTCGTCGACATCCATTGGAATTGAGGGTGAAGGGGGTTCTCGAATTTTAAAGGAAACCTTTTGAGGAGTCTTTGGGCCCCCAGTCCAGGGGGTAGGCGCTTGTATGAAAGCTGAACGATGTCTTTTTGGTGGATTTCCAAAGCTCGAAGTCCAGGGCTGTGGACTCAGCGCAGGCGATGGCATCGGCTTTCTGGGCTGGTCCCCATCACTCCGTGGGAAAGGTTCTGGTGTCTCTCTACTGCTTTGAGGAGGATGTGGACCTTGTCCTGAGGTAGCAGAATTTCCACCTTCACCTCCAGTCCTTTTGCCTGATGCGCCGCCTGCTGCACTCTCCTCTTCGTCTGGCCCGCAAGAACCCCCAAACGCAAGCTTGCGGCTGGTCAATTCATGGCCCCTGAGCTTGCTAAAACAATGCATGACGAGGAACAACAGCGCCATCACGCCTGCCAGTGCTACGAAGACATGCAACACCTTGAGTCTAAATCCCTGGGATCCGTTGATGCCATGAGCGCCCACATGTTCATATGCTACTGCACTGTGATTTGGTTTTTCTTGCACAGGAGGGAACGACAGATCGATGGGGTCTTGTGAAACGCCGCTCGATAGAACCACTCCAGGATCTGCGCAGGCCACGAAGGCCGGCAAGGCGGCGATGAACGCAAGCTTCTCTTTCATTCTTGGGGGAACAGCCTAATAACCTGATAAGAAACAAATAATTTAGCGGAATTTCAAGGTAAGAAGGCGAGAAGAAGGGCAGGCGGAGTGGGAGGGGTAAGAGGTCCCGACCCACAATGACACTGGGTGCAAGCGGCTGACTGACGAGACTCTATTTTTCCCGCTGCATCAGCAGCCCGTGCTGCTGCGCTTGTTCTAAAAATGAGGGCGATGCAAATATTTGGAATAAGTCTTGTTAAACTGTTGAATGATAGGCGCACGCATCGCTCTTGTTGCAGTCCTTGCACGACAAGGGGGTGGCCGGAAAATTCCACGCAGACCTCCCAAGGACCACTCCATTCCTCATTGTGGCCCTGTTTGCATCTTTTGCCTCTTTTCTTTGATAACCATTTCCGTTGGACTGAGTAAGTCAGTTTTTTGTATATTGGGAAGTGCCCATGAAGTGTTGTGTGTATACTGTTGCCTTTTTCACGTAATTCTCCACGAGTATCAAGTACTTGCTGTGGGGGTTTTCACCGCAGTCAGACCATATTTGCCGCTGTTAAATTTCAGCTTTTTGATATGAGTTTAAATGCTTTAATCAATGTTTTGGGGGATCCCTGCTTCGTTCAATGGGCCTGTAAAGAAGGCCTTTCAAAAGCAGCCCAACAAGTCACCCGCACATGTCTAGCCAGCGCCCAGCACATCACGCTGCAAGTAGCACTAAGCAGCCTCTCAGAAATAAAAGGACGCTTATTGAATTTTCCCATTCGAATGCTTTTCCAGGGACTTGCTTGCCTGGGTAAGTTTCTACGTTATGGACCCAGCGCAGCTTCGCCCATACCAGCATCTATCGCTAGCGCCGGGGAAGTTAACTGGGCGGAGGTGGAGCATCTCCATTGAATCATAATAACTGATAATCAATCGTAGTTATTTCGATGGGACTATAGAAATTGCATCTTCTTGGTCGAATGCCCCCCAAAATAACGAATAGGCAGCTTAACCGTAAGCACAAGCATCGTCAATGAATGGCAGCCAAGTTCATGTGCAGGAGGTAGCCAGGTAGCCGCACTCAAATACTGCGATGCGTGACCATCCATACATCTGCATTTCAAAGTATGTACATCTCACTTCTATCCGGAGCTGACTCTGCCTTTAACGCGTAGCATGCGGTAGTCCACCTATTAGATGAGAAGAATCTAGTTTCCGGCAGGGACGAATGGAATACGGCTCGGAGAATAGTGAAGGACCCAGAGCATAAACTTGAAAGCCCTCAAGAGCTCACAGGCTGCTGCTTGTTGCTGGCATTGGCCGCTAAAGTTACACGGATCGCCTGATTGCGGACCGCAGAAGACATTTTTTGGGAAAATAGTGGTTCCTTGAGCAACTAAACGTGTGTTCATGCCGAGTTAATGTATCTAGGACCTTCAAGCAGCACAAAGAAGCCACCGTTGTGCACTAACTGCCCGTACAAGACTAATAGACTTGGAAAACATATCCTCCCAACCCAGGTGAAACGAAGCTGACAGCCATCTGGCTACATGCTGGTCAAGGAAAGAGACGCCATCCATTTACTGACGTGTCAAAGCGAATCAGAATATTGCGGAGAAACACAACCAAAGGCACGCAGTTTGGAAGACTGAGCCGTCACAGCGAGCCTGCTACACTTGGCGGGTGGGTAGCTGGCTGGACCCATTCCATTCCACATCTCTGCGCTCATTCCTCTCTAAAAAGAGGCCTCAAATAAATGAGGAAACCGCTGTGCTGCTGTCTACAGCCCAAATTCCAGATAACGAATGCTCAAGGACAGGTCGCACAGTCAAAGTGCTCTAGCCTGTTCAGCTAGCCAGGACGCTGAGAGCCTCGTAGTTAGCTAAGACCGAAGCCGCGGGTTCCCCCAATGGCTCCTCGGACTTTGTCCCACAGATCTTTTCGCGTCGCATAGGCAGGAAGCTTAAATAGATTTACGCAAGTGCTGCTTGTGGGCAAGCGGGACGTGTCTGGTACCCTGTGAATGGTGAAAGGGGGAGATAGGGAGCCGAATCCTCGTAGAGGTGCGCGGGAGCAAGATGTCACGAACATCAAGAAACTGCTGCGTTCACTGTCTGCCATTCCACTCTGCGCGAAACCAGAACAAAGCAGCAGAGTAAGAGAGTCACTAACATTTTTCATGTATGTGTGTGCACCGCAACTCTGCCTGTACTAATGCAAGAAACAGGTAAATGATGCGACCAAGCAATGGTGCCTGAGGCACAGCAAGGAAATTAAAAAGTATTACAAAAACGTTGGTGTCACAGAGACACAACATATCCGGATTAGAGAGTTACACACTTCAGGATGAAAGATCACTCGAATCTTTTTCCTTGCGCTGCAGGCAATGGGGCAAGATGTAGATAGCCAAGGCACGCCAATACACAGATAGAAACAATAAAATCTATGCGCTGGTAGCGACTCACAAGGAGCTCCCAAAGCCACAGAACTTGAGGACTAGTCTCGGAAAAGCCGCCGCTGTAGGAGGCGTGGGAACGCAAGTCTTCCACATCAAAGCCTGTAGGACAGCACAGTAGGAAAAAACGAATAGTTTGATCTGGGCTACCAAAATGGAGGAAGAGATCGGCAGAAAACGAGAGTTTTCAGAGGCGCCGGCAGAAAATCGAACGAGCAAGCAATCAGTGGGCATACAGTTGGCTGCTAGCTAGTCAGTGATGTAGTCAGCTATTTAGGCAAGCAGTTTGCTAAAGATCTGGCTAGGTGCAATAGTGCGGTGACGTAATACCCTCGCTGGTGCCGCTAACAAGATGCTGCAGCTCTTCGGCAGAAAACATCTGAAGCCACTGCAGTGGTACGACGTCGCTGAGACCACGAAGAAATGCTTGCGTTTGCTGCTGTATTTGTTTGACACACTTGTAGTCCGACATAAGCTGCACGTATCGCAGCTTGGAAGCGCTGAGAAGTAAAGCATACAAGTGTGCAGAAGCGACGAAACCCAAATGAACCGCCCTACGGATGAGGAGCCGAGTACATGTAGAGAGAGACACACACAATATAGCAGAGACAGAAGCAACTTTCACCAAGCGTCGATGATACGCAGCTAGGCAGGTCAGGTGACGCACGTGGTAAGCAAAAAAGCAAACTGAAGCGATGCAGCCGCCGCGGACAACGGCAGCGCGTAAACCACAGCGCCGCTCAAAGAAAAATAACGACAAAACAACTCTTGGCGCAACAGCGACAGAAAAGAAAACAGCGGTAGAATTCGAAGTAATCGTAGCACGAAACTCGTAACAGTTGTAGCGGCAGCAACACCAGCATACTTGGTGACGGGGATATTGCAACCATTTGGAATGAGATCCACCTCCTCCTGGCTACCGAACTCCGAGCGCATGACAGAAAATGTCAGGGACAGCTCTGCAGCATCTCCCGGGTACTTCTTCAGCAGCATGAGGCTGCGGTGTACAGAAGGGTCTAGGCTCTTGATATCGTCAAGGCGGCAGGGCCGGCGCAGTAACAACTTAAGGAAGACGCGGTTCAGTTGAGGCTCAATAAGCACTCCCTCAAACACAGCCTGTTGTGAGGTACAAGCGTGTAACAACGAAATGAGAAAAAAGCAACCAAGGGTCGTTTCGTCAGCCACTTCTTCTCCCTCACTACTTCGCTAGTTTCTGCCCCTTTAGGCAGCTTAGTTCGTCCCCACAATTATCTATCCTTCGCGCTGCTACCACAAAATTCCCCTAAACACAGCCTCCTTGATACCTCCGGACAATTCAAGGGCACTTAGTACAGCGCTGCCAGTCATTCTAAAGCGCGCATCGGGGCTAGCAGCAGGCACTACATTATGCAAGAAAAATATCGGCAAAAGCAGCAACCAGACGCAGCGGCTGCTGGCGAAACTTCATCCAAAGGTTCTTCATTTCAGCAATAGTGACAGCAGCAGCATCGCGAATATCGATAACAGCAGCAGCAGCGGCATGAACACTGGTTGAAGCAACAGCAGTACCTTGCCAACAAGCCTTCCTATTGCGAGAAACAAGTTGGCGAAGTTCGGGTGAAGAAGCTCGACGGAGGGATTTGGAAAGAGAGAATTATCGGGGCAGCCCTGCAGGCACACGATATTGATCTATTCATGGACACAGGGTGTCTGCTTTTGCACCTGTTTTCTGCAAGGGCTGTAGGCAGGCTGGCCAAGGCTGGAACAGGCTGGAGGGCAGGCAGAAGGATAGATGAGGTAAACAGCCAGAATAGACCTACGTGGAAAAGGCCGTAGGCAGGGTCGAATGCTCGCCGAGAAAGCTCCACCTGTATCAGCCAAGGCAGCATCAACGGCTACTGCAACGGCAAAAAGGAACTCTCAAGCGGCGGCAATGTAGGAGTACAGACCCAAGTGAGGATCCGATGGTAGAGAGAGCAGATCAACAAAAGCAGCAGCAGCAGATGCAGCAAAAAAACAAGAAAAAACCCCACACAGAAGACACGTGAGCAAATATATCTGAGAAGCAACACAATTTACATGAAAAAAAGGGAAGGAGGAGTCTGAGCAGCACACGCAAACCCATCTACATAAAATACACGCATACACACAAACACACAGCGACAGATAGAGACAACCGTGGAAGGCGCCGCTGCCCCCGCCGCTGCCGCGATTGTACTTGCTGCTGCTGATGCGTACTATGAGCTCCTTAAGCAGGCCGCCTCCGTCGATTCCGGCCTCCGGAGTTCCTTCGGCGGTGATGAACTCGACCTGAAACCCCCGCATGACGTCTTCGGCGAATAGAAGACACAGGAAGCAACACACACCAAGACAGTTTTCGTCAAGCGCTGCAGACGCAAGCGGCTCTGTGGCGCTGTTGAGAGAAAATAGCTTAAGGACTTCCGTGGCAGCAAAAACGCCCGGTGTATTTTAATCGGAGACGACGTCAGCAGAGAGCAGCAGCAGCAAGCCCAGCGTCAAGTGCAGAAAGTGGAGCAATTGCAGCCTTCAGTACCTCCATGAAGCAGCGCCGCTAGTCCGTCTTCCACTGCAGCAGGACGCCCCAAAGAAGCGTTCAGGTTTCACCCTTAATTCCTTAACTCCTTGAAGCTTACATTTCTGTCTTGAAAAAAACAGTGGTACAGGGAAGAAGGCTGAATCATGACTAAAGAGACTGTTTCGCGCCTCATGGAAGGCAGTCGCCATCGCCCGTATGGGCCCCTTTGAGGCACGTAGCATTCATAGGAAACCAACAAACACAAGAAACGGAATATGAACGAGAGAAAAACAAACAGGCGGTGGAAGCTGGCCTACGTCCAAGAAACAAAGCAGTGGCCAGCCAGTAACAAGAATCAGAAAGGAAAAGCCGCCCAGAGCAATTCCCAGTTCGGGCACCCATAGGTGCGCAGAATCCCGATGAAGAGCCGACAGAAAAACCCCAAGAGATAAAGGAAGACAGGATGCAAAGGAGGTGAAAAAGGAAAACCAAGAAAGGATGCACATACTTACCGATATGGGTCCTCCTTATCTGGAAGCATCGACGATAAAAGAAAGAAGAAGATGAATCGCCACGCTCGAACGCCAGAAGCTGGTAAAACACCTGAATTCAGCAACCAACGAAGCCACAAACACGCAACTAATTAGCCAGGTGAGTAAATAGCTAGACGACCAGCAGGGTAGCTGCTCGTTAGCTGAAGATTCAGCCAATAAGCCAGCTGCCTAGTAAAGCCAGACGACGCAGCCTACACAGCTGACGTAAACAGAGAGTGCTGCCAGGAAGAAGACAAATACTGCGGCGCACCAACGCCTACATCTCTTTGTGAAGAAAAAAATGAGACAAAGTGAAACAAGAAGACAATAATACAATGGAAGAATAAACGCTAAGCCCTAAATCTTAGACCGTATAATTCGATTCATCAGTTCTTACCGCGAGCCTGTCGGAAAAAGCGATTGTATGCGGCACATACACTAGAGAAGAGGCCAGCAACCTCGTAGGCAAATTTGATAGGCGCAACCCGGGGGGTGGCACCCTGGAGGGTCCGCGTGACGCAGCGCTTGGTGCCGTTGCAATGCTGCTGCTGCCGCCGACAGTGGCAGCATCCGCAGTGGATGCCGCAGCGGCGTCGCCGCCGCGCATGCACCAGACAAGACATTCCCAGAGAGCTGGGAGGCGCTGACCACCTGCTGCAGAAAAGATTAAGGAGGCAGGTCCGTCAGGTAGCACCAGCTCTTCGTCTTCAACAAGAGACACACGACTGTTCAGATCCAATAGTTCACGTAGAACCCCAGGCACCAGCTGCCACAGGCGCTCACGTCCTCTTCGCCATCGCCTCCCGTTGCTACTGCTGCTGCTGTTGTTGTACGGGGGTTCAGGCAAGAGTAGCGACAGCTCCTGTTGCTCCTGCTGCTGCTGCTGCTGTCGCTGCTGAGGGCACGACGACGCGCATGTTGAACGCAGTAACAACCATGCGACGCGGTTGAGCGTCAGCAAAAGCCACCGCAGGTCGCTGCGCTTCAAAGAAAAGCCGCTATTGATGCTGCCGTCGTACTTGCATGCGCTCGTGCTGCTGGTGCTATTCCCCGCGTTAAGTTGTTCCTCCTCTGTCTCCTCCAGCAGCTCGGAATCGTCAGTCATCTAAACGTTAGGAATGGTACGAAACAACAAGCACAAAGCAGACGGCCCAATGCAACAGACGCAGCAGCTGCTGTGCGCGAAACAGAAGCAAAAGGCGAAGCCCCAACGACAACTGTGTTCGGAGGACCTTCGGCGCCAGCAGCAAAGTTCGGAGCATACACTGCGGCAGTAGCAGCGCAACACCAGGAGCTAGACGGCCGCAGCAACCACCAGCTATCGCGAAATATTAGGAGGCACACCAGCAGATGCAGGATAAATATGTACCTGTAATTTATATCTGAGAACAGTGCAAAGAGACCTCACAGCCTCTCCCCACTCGCTCGTGAACTCAGGGGGATGCCCCATGAGCCCAAAGAAAGTGTCGGCACTACCCCCACACTTCTTGTCCAACTGTAACAGCCACAGTAACCGCAAAAAACCAGAGAGGGCAGGGTCACTGCAGAATCGGCAGAGCTGGCTAATTCTGCATCACTTGCTGGAGAAGGGCAAAGTAAAGACACTCACACAGGTCCTGATGGCATTAAGAAGACGTAGAGGCAGAGGAGTGCTGACGGACAGGGCGTTCAAAATAAGCCGTTCATCGTCTAGCAGGCAACGTCGCGCACGCATATGCTGCTGCTGCTGCGTCTGCTGCTCCTGCACCAATACTGCTATTCTTGATGCAGCTGATGACCCATGCAGCTTTTACTCATGGCCTTGCACCCTAGAACCCCCGTTTCTCTCCACAAGCCAGTGGCAAGCAAGGTGCAGCAGGGAAACTTAGTTACTGCTAGCTGCCTGACCTGTGTACTTGTGGTCCCAAAGATTACGGAAGTCTTCACCGCTACCTCCATCATCCTCAGTTTCAGAGTCCGACTCAGATTCAGTTTCATCTTCTGCTGCAGTTGCGTCGCCCGTTGCTGGTGATGCTGCCGCAGCTGCCGCCGCCGATGATGCTGCTGCTGCCCTCTCCGACTCCGGTGGGAGATAAAGCTGCAGCAAGTCCGATAGGCCTTCGCCACACATAAAGAAGAGCCGAACGTTGCGCATGCATGCTTAGGCAGCCAGCTCGCGAGCCAGCTCGCGCGCCAGCTAGCGAGGAATCTTTAGGGAAAACCTCAAACGAAACAAACGGTACGGCGACCGAACATGGGTGTCATCAGCTAGCTAGCAAGCCAGCTAGCTACAGGGACACTCACCCCTTGGAGGTGCAGCTTGTGCAGCCGTGAAAAAGGCGTCAACAGCCCAGCCCTCAGTGAGTACAACGAGCTGGCGCCTTAGCTGCAGCAACAGCAGTTCAACAGACAAAGCAGTCGTTGCACCGGCAACAGCTGGTACCGCAGTTGCATCGAACGCTAGTAAGTGATGCAATTGCCACTCTGTAGTCATCTGCAACGGAAATAACAACTAGAGCTGCGGCAATACGAGGCGGATACCGGGGGTCGCAAGCTTACCGCCTCATCTACAGACACGGAAAATGGCAACACTGTCTGGCGGTCCTTTTGCTGCTGCTGCTGGTGCTGTCCCCGCTGCTCTTCAGGGCTCAGAAGACTTGCACGAAGCAAGTCGAATGGGCAGCTCCAGCCACAGAGACGCAGAGAGGCCAGTAGCCACACTGGGCATGTAAGCGCTGCAGACACTGGAGCTGTTATTGCTTCTGCTGCTTCTGAGGCTGCTTGTTGAGCTGCTGCTGCAGTCCCTGAAGCGACAAGCCGTTGACGGTGCAAATGAAACAGAGATAACATATTGCCAGCCAGGCATACACCCAGACCCATATTGCGGTCTCCCTCTGTCGGAGCTGTTGCTGAATCTGGTGCTGTTGCTCGCCGACGCAATGGGTAAGGGCGCCGCAGGCCTTCGTATAAGCCATCGAGCCTCTCGCACTCTGCAGCGAAGAGCCGCAACAACTCTTGCCTCGACGCCAATTTCAGTTGGTTTTCTTGCTGCAGTCCCGTGAAATGCTGCCGTTGCTGCAGCGCATTCTGCAGTAGCCCTGGAGATCCCAGACGCCGCCTAAGCGCAGCAGCTGCACTTGCTGCTGCAACAATAGCACCAGCGCTTCGGAGTTCCGGGAAAACTGCCAATGAAGTTGTTGTTCTGGGGGCAGCTGCAGCTGTAGAAGCAGCTTCTGCTGCGTCAGGTGCATCTGCAGCAGCTGGTGTGGCTGCAGTGCCAAAAAGAATCGCCTCCAAACGCGCAACGGCCCTATCTTGCAGAATGGAGTGCTGCTGCAGCTGCTGATCTTTCGCTGCAAATGAAGGCAGCAGCAGTGGGGAACCAAATAAGTGCAGCAGGAGTTCCGTCTGAGCCATGCAGTCTGCAGCAGCAGGCAGAACAAGAGCAAAGATACAGCCAACATTTCTGCACCCCGCGCAAATTGCAAACACGGCTCAACGGCGGGAACACAAGAGTGCCAGGGGAGGCGGCAGCAGCAGTAGCAGCAGCAGTGGAAGAGATCGTGGCGTCTTGGTGGCAAATGTTTGGTACACGAAAATGGTGAGGAAACCAGCAGCATGGAATTGCAGTAGCCATGCCTGAGTTAAAGGCTTGGTCCCTTAAAAAGTGTTCCAGCAAAATCAGAGCATCTTCCGCATCAGCGGCAGTATCCATCTGAGCTGCACTGTGTCCATTTGCTGCTATTGCTGCTGCTGCTGCTGGCTCTGTGACGACAGAGGAGACAAAATATCCTATCTGAGCTGCAATGCAGCACCCCAATCCTAACAGGCGCCAGACAGCGCTGTGAAATAGGCTCTTCTGCTGTTGCGGTTGCGGCTGCTGCAGCTGCTGCTGCCGGTGCATATCAAAGCGCAATAGCTGCACTAGTAAGCGCGACGTTGCTGCAGCACACGCTTTGGCCTGCTGTCTCGTCGACGAATCACACTCCAGAGGCAGCAGCATCAACGGCAGCCTCCCCACTACAGCAGTGTGTCTGCATGCCTTAGCAGCAGCAGCACCGAAACTGGCAAGTGTAGCACCTGCTGCCCCCAGTGCCGGCTCCGGTACCGCTGCAGGTAGGCCAAAACAAGCCCTGCCAGAAGGGGACAGAGCACTGCAGCGCCAGCCGCAACGATAGCGTAAGTCCCCCTCAAACAGCAGGTGGGGGGGACATCGCCTCTGCTGCTGCTGCTGATGCTCGCACTTCAGCTCCGAACTGTGCTGCAGCAACAAGAGATTCCTGTAGTGTACTGACAAGGCTCGCAGCAGAGCAACGTGCAAGGCGCAGCTAGGCACTGGTTCTCCTGCTCCTGCTTTATTTTCAGGGACTGTTGCTGCGGCGATGGAAGGCGCAGGCATGGCAAAAGCGGCAGCAAGGAGTCGTTCGGCGTCCGCTGCGCCTGCCCCACAGAAGGGATCGAAGCTGAAAGCAATTCGCCTGGCTTGTTGCTTGTGCACCTGCTGCTGCTGCAGCTGCTGCCGTTGATGTTCTAAGTCGTCCACCTGCGCAATCAGGTGCTGCTGCAGCTGCTGTTCCTGCAGCTGCAGCTGAAGCTGTTGACGCTGCCTGTCGAATTCATCCCTACAGAGCTGCTTGCATTTCTGTCTCTCTCTGAAAGCCCTCCACGCACCAGATATTCGGTGCTGCGCTTGTTGCTGGCGTCGTTGCCTCTCCCGCTGCTCCCTTCTCTCACGGGTCTGCCGCAGGAACGCGCTGCGCCCTAGTGCGGTGCTATTACGCTGGCCCCCGGACAGATTGACGTTGCGGGTCCCGATGCTGCTTCCCCACTCGTACATCGTGCGCTGTACGCTGCAGCAGCTGCCGCTGCTGCTGCTGCTGCTGCAGCGGCTGCTGCTGTGCTGAACTGGGCGCGATTACCCGCGAACAGGCAGCAGAACCTTCTATTTGGGGTACCCCTGATGTTGCACGTGAGTTAATAGAATTCGCTGTATTTTGTTTCGGTGTGTAGTGCTCCTCTTTGTGCAGCAGTAACCGTCGGTGCTGCTGGTGTTGCTGCTGCTGAATTTGCAGTTTCAAGCGGACGTCGCAGCAATATATGTCTTGAACTGAAGATCTAAAATGATTCCAATCCTATAGAATCACGGAAAGCGAATACTGCTATCAAGTTGTGTGATAAGGTTACTGTTGCAGCAGCTGGCAGCCGCAGCAGGAGCAAGAGCAGCAGCCACCGTTGTGAGGAGGGGCTGCGGCACGAGCCGTAGCCAAGTGAAGCCAACCAGCCGGGAAATTCGTGTAGACCTAGAAATTGCCCTGATTTCAGCAGCATCTAACCTCAGGGACTGCTGTGCTGCACTATCTCTAGGAATATGCCTGAGGAGCAGCAACACGAGCCGCAGCCGCAACAGCAGCAGCCGCCAGCAGCAACTAGAAAGCCCCGTGTCCAGTCTTCAACTTTTGTTTAAAAGCTCCTGCCCAAGTATTAATCTGCGCCTGCAGACGTTTTGTCAAGTTGGAGCAGGAATACCTTGGGGGAGCCTCTGCACTCTAGGATCGAAAACTGGAGCGGCCGTTGTAACTGCTGCAGCAATCGCTCTAGCTGCCGCTGCAGCTGATGATGATCCAAGCCTAGCGACAACCGTAAAAACAATGCGGAAACGCAGGTTTACTTATTAAATTCAGCGAAGCAGGCAGCATTTATGGGAAGACTCCTACGACAGCGCATAGCAGCAGTTAAGTTGACCTGCAACAGGACTAGCAGCACCTACCGCATATACAGCAGAGTAAGCAGCACCTAGAGTATCCCCAGCGGCGGAGCCAAAGTAGTATACAGAGCCCATTTATGGTGAAGGGCGCCGTGACAGAGGTTCTTGTAGCAGCAGGCAGGAGCAACGGAAGCGTCAGCAACAGCAGCAATAGCTCCGAATACTCCAATCAACGGACCCCGGCACAGTGTTAAACACCGCAGTTCTAATTGTTCCCTCTGGAAAAGATGAGCAACAGTGGCAAGAGTGGGGAGGATCTCTGCTGCGACAGCAGCAACGACGGGAAGAGCAACAGCAGCAGCAGCAGCGAGGAGGCAGGAGCGGCTCACGGTTCTCCGTCTGGGGAGTGCTTGGTCTGTTATGAGGACATAACGGAGGACAATTATTGCGAATATCAAGCTCCAGGAGACAGTAGGTGGTATCCTTGTTTCTTTTGCTACCCCTGTGTGCAGCAGCTGCAGCAAACACAAGTAAGCGGCACACGAGCTTCCTCCTGCCTCCTCCGTCTCTGTTGTTATGCATTCGTCCGTCTCTACTGTTGCTGCTATGCCCTTGCCTTTCCTCGTTTTCCCATCTCTTGCTGTATTAAAGGCGTGTCGTTGGACTTCCCGCCTGTTCACTGTTTTCCATGTTTCGTTGCGTATGGTGCTGCTGCTGCTGCTTACTTCTGCTGCTGGCCTTCGTTGGTGGTTCATCTTGGTCTTGTTGCTCCCGTTTGCGGCTACTGTTGCTGCTATGACCTGTCGCCTTACCTCATGGCTTCGTGGGATACACCTTTGCTGAGATGCTACCCCTGAGGGCTCGCCCCCGTTGCACCTGCTGGCGCGCGTGTTGTTGCACTTCTGCTGCTGCTGCTGCAGTTTCAGCGTTACTGCGACGGTGTGTCTCGCTCCACCTGCGCGAAAGAGCAGCGGGCGCTGCTAACCCGTGGGCCCCCCGTAAACCTGTGGGACGCGCATGCGTTTCCGGTCGCAGACAAGTCAGAAATAGAGCAGCTCTGGGTCGCCAAAGACAGGCGAACAGCATCAGCAAAGCTTGATGGGAGCCTGGTGGGCAACAGAGGCGAATAAATACCAACACAGATGCACAGGCGCGAGTTAACTCTGGGAAGCACAAGAAACGAAGCAGTGTGGCAGCAGAGTCAGAAATAGAGGACAGATAGCCACGCATATAGCACGTAGACGTGGTGGAGGAAAAAGGTGAAACAGCACTACACAACACGCAGGCAGAATAGCAGGAACAGAGGCCGCAGGCCTTAGGTGCGCAAATTTTTGCTGTCAGCTGCCACTTAGAATGGCTGTAACCAAGCTTGAGGCTGTAGTCCTGCTTGCCGCAGTATGTGTACACAGACGCTTTTTCCTCTGCGCCTCCCTCTGTGTCTTCCCGTGAAATGCTGTTCGCGGACATTTGCGCTCTCACTGCCTCAGCTGATGAGTTTCCAGCTCTCTAAGCAGGGCTTCCGGTTGATTGCTTTGGCTCCAAGGATAGGGTTTAGGGTTTGTGGTCTGCGCTACAGACGGGCGAAGCGCGGGAGAAGCTGTGGAGTGAGCTTCGAGCCTTTCTTATAGAAGACGAGAAGACGGAAGATCCAAAGAAGCAGGATAGCTAGCTTTTGGGCCAGTGAGCTAGCTTTGCATATGCCCAGCCAGTGAGAGAGACAGCTAGCTAGCCAGTTCGGCGTCTAGCTAGCTGGCTACACCATTGACGGCGCAGGTAGAGCGACTCGCAGCCAGCGGTCTCGCCAAGGACAAAGCACTGGAGTTATGTGCCGGGCTATTTCGCCTCCTTGGCAGCCATCTCAGCAACCTGCACAACGGCCTTCCTCGAAGCAGCTGCAGCAGCTGAGCTCCCAGCAATGTGGGGCAGTCACTAGTTAATCGATGTGGTTCCTTGTTATTTCGCTAGCTAGCTATTTGGCTAGGAGGCTTGACTGCCTCTCAAAAAGCTGCTACTTTCATTTTTAATCCCCCACATAGGTGCACTGCCGCCAGTTTCCGAAGCTATTGCTAGCTGCCCACTTTGTGCTACCTGCCGCTGCGTGCGACGAAGTACACATGCTGCAGCGGCATCCACAGCAACAGAGGCAGCGGGCGTTCTAGCTCCCATACTACTGTTGGCTTGCTGCTGCACCAGCACATTGCAGCGAAGCCCATATCTGTGTGGCGGCAGGCTCTTGCCGTTGCTGCTTGGTAGCTGCTGCCGCGGGGGCAGGCAGCAATACCTTCTTCTGCTAGTTGCCATTTTATTCATTCCGGCATCCCCTGGTGTCTCCTCTGACCGTGAAGACTAGGGATTGGTGGCTAGAAGCCAGAGGCCGTGACCACCAGCTGTGCAGCACAGCTGCAGCAGCACATGACTCACGACTTTCCCCCATTTGAACAGTTGCTGAGCACAAGTGCGACACTTTTCGCACCCTTTGCCAGCTTTGTATCTAGCCAAGCACGTAACTAACTAGATGCACCCTCAGCTTGCAAACAACGACCAGCCGCCTTGGGCCACGCTAGGAGACTCTAGGCTCCCTCTTCTGTTCTCTTTTCCAGCTAAGACGACGGCGAATTTTGAAGTGGCCTCTTAGGCGTTTTGCTGATTCTTGGCGTCTCTTTGTAACCCTTTGCCGCTATCTGTTCCTCTACGTGTGGCTCCTACCAGCTGTCCTCTTATCTATGTAGTCCTCAGTTTGGTTCTGTGCGTGTTTCCGTGCGAGCCTGTTTGTTGCTCTCAGTGGTGTGTGGCTGCTCCTGCATACGCTTTCCTGCACTTTGCCCTGTCTTCTACACGTCTATCTGACCTCTTCTTACTCCTTCATCCCTCTGCTTGCGATTCGAGAGCGGAAGCAGGCCGCAAGTCAGGCAACTATCCTTGCCCGCGCTACCCACGAATGACATTTGCAGTTACTGCTGCAGCTACTGCTGTAGCTGCTGCTGCATCTGTCCATATGATTGCTGCTGCTGCAGCTCCTGCGGATTTTGCCGCTGGACCCTTGCTGCTACTGCTGCTACTTGAGGCACTGTTGCCTCAGCTGGGCTACGCAGCGCGTCCGCGGTGTCCGCAATAGCAACACTTCCCGCCCAAGGCAACACGACAATGACTGAAACGCATTATCCACGAAGAGCAACGGAAGCGCTGCAGGAATTGCTGCAGCAAGTGCGCAGCGTCGATTATGCATCGCAGCAGCATTAGTAGCAGCAAGTGAAGGTCGTGGCGTTTTTCCTTCGTCAAGCCGCGAAACTGGAAGCTAGGTACGAAAGAACCGGCTGGCACGACTACCCTGAAATGCGTGGCTGCTCTGCTGCTGTGGTTCTTGCCCATTTATTTTTTGCGTCCTTTGCCCACAGCGACAGGTTTGAGAGCGGCGTGCCCCTTTTCTTTGATGTGGCTGAACAGTGAATTGCGTGTGGGAAACACGGCGCCACAAACAGCGCACGTTGTATCCTTTGTTGTTGCTGCGCTCTTCCCCTTACTACTTGCTGTCGCGCGTACTGGCACTGCAGCAGCTGGTACAGCTCCAGGGTCTTCCGTGGAGCGATCCAGTTCCCGCCTCTGCCGCCCACTTTTAGAGCGGCTGCAGCTGCTTGCTGCGTCTGGCTGCGCCTGCTGGCGTCCACGGCGCCTGCGTGCCCCCCTCGGCGTCTCGGCATCGCTTTGGTTATTGCCTGAATTGCTTGCAGCTGAGCAAGCAGCTGCAGCATCTGGGTTTTCGTCTTCTTCTTGGTCGCCTGTTGCGCTGCCACCAGTACTACTGCTGCTGCTGCTGGTGCTGTCACGGCGTTGGCCCCTTTGCGACTTCCGCGACCCCGCAAGCCTGAGCAGCACCTCATCCGCGTCATCTTCGCTGCTGCTGCTGCTACTGCTGCTGCTGCTTTGGTCAACTGAGGAGCTTTCATCGCTGCTTTTACTCCTCCTTTTTGTGCTTTTTTCTGAGCTGCCTCTGCTTTTGTTGCTTTGACTGCTCTCTGCGTCTGTGTGGGCTGCTCCCTCGGAGGCTTGCTGCTGCTCTTGCTGCTGCGCTTGTTCTTCGCAGCATTCGGCTGCTGCCAGGCCTCCTCCTCCGCCTTGTTGATGCTGTATTGCTTCCTGCTGTTGTTCTTGTTCCACGCGGGGAGACAGCGCCCCTTCTATATCAAGTCCCTCGAAATCCGCTTCTAGCTGCTCCGCCAGCCGTTTGAGGTTCTTCTTGTGCTTTAAGGACCTCGCGTGGGCTTCATACTGCTGGGCACTCCGGAAGTCTTTCTCACAAACTTCGCAGACATATATCACTTTCACTTTGTTGCTGCTGCCCTTCCGTTCCTGCTGCTCCGAGGAACCCTCCGTTGCAGCAGCAGCAGTAGCTGCTGCCGCCGCTGCAAAGCCAGTCGTCCCCAAAGATCCGAGGCGAATGGAGCCATCACTGGGCCCCGAGCTGCAACTCGCATACCATGCCTCGAATGCCTCGTCTTCTGTCTTTTTCCTTCCTTCTTGCTGCTGCTGCAGCTGCTGCTTCTTGGGGGCTGTCTCTGTCTCTGCTTCAGAGGAGGCACTGCTGCTCATGTCGCTGCTGCTGTCAGCAAAGGCGTGGCCTTGTTCCCGCAGAGCGCGACGCTCTGCTTTGAGGGCCTCGTAGTACTCCTGCTGCTGCTGCTGCCTCTGTTGCCGCAACAGCTGCTGCTGCTCCTGTAGCCGCTTCTGCTGTTCCTCCTTGGCCCGCTGCTCATCAAGACGTTGCTGTGCCTGCAGGACAAAGTGTCGTTAAACGAACAATCGTCAAATAACTGTCGAACCAACAGTCGCCAACTTGCGGCATATACAAACGCAGTAGCACCATAGACAACAGCTGAAATTCTTGGCGCAGACCCTTGCCAAAAGCCAGCCAGCAGCAAGCAGCAGCAGCAGCAGCAGCAACAGCAGCAGCAGCAACAGCAGCAGCAAGCTGGGCAAACGAAGCATACGAGCGCCGCTTGTCTAGCTATGGCCCGAGGATCTTTTTTCTTTATGTGCTGCGCCAGTCGCCTAACAGTATCATTAAATTCCTTTTTTGCATCTTTCCGCCTTTTGGCGTTCTCACGCTCCATCAAACGGCGTTCGGGCCGGCTCGCCTCTGCAGCAGCAGCAGCAGCAGAAACAGGCGCTCGTCGCTTGCCGTTTGCTGCACCGGTTGAGGGCTGGAACGACTGGCGCAGCATGAGAATGGTGAGCAGCAACAACAGCAGAGCAACAAGAACAGCAGCAAACGCAGCTGCAGCTGTGCAGTTTAGCCAGAGGTACCTGCCATATCTCTGGGTGACCACTGGTCTGCTTCTGCAAAGTCTCTAACAGAGGAAAAGGAAGACCAGTAAGTGTAGAATGCGCCCACCTCCTCCCATCCTGAGGCAGCTGCGCCGAACGAGGGATACTGCAGCAAAACGCAACAGCAGCAGCAAAACCGCCAAAGCAAAGATTAAAAAAGAATGAACGCATAGCCAAGTGGCCGCGTTAGTTGTAAAAAAAGCGGCGTAGAACACTGGCGCATTAGAATACTCGGGCACACTTCAAGCAAAAGCAAAAGGAACAAAAACTGGCAGAAGTACTTCGACTCAGAGATTGTTGCAGAAGACAAACTAGAAACCAGACACACTTGCAAACACAACGAGCGCACAAGTAGGCTGAGGCAAGCAGACACAGTCAGATAAATGGCTGGCCAATGTACAGAACAGCGGGCCTCTGCCTCTTGCTGCTGCCTCTCTGTCTATTCAATCCTTCATTTTCCCTCGAGACATCTTTGTCTCTAATTCCAAAGGAAAATTTTCCCCTACTCCCGGAGCGAATTCTCGCCGCTCGTCCCTTAGTGTGTGTCCTATGCGGTTCTGAGAATAATTGTTTGTGCGGAAGCTTTCGCGTTTATATGTTCGTTTGCTAGCTTTATATCTCTGTTTGTTTGGCCTTTTTCCCTCATGTCCCACCTCTTCTGGGCTTTCCATTCCCTTTCGGTTGCAGAATTGCTTCTCTGCTTCTCCTATGTCCACAAACAGCTGTCTGTACACCTGAAAGAAGCCGCCGTCATCGTCTCCAAAGCCGTTGAAGCAAGTTGCTCTAAAAAATCCAAAGAGGTTTGTGCCGAAGCCCCCAGCAGCAGCAGAAGCAGCAGCAGCTCCCTGGGCTGCTGCGTCCCCAGAACCCAGTATGACATCTCTGTGTGAATCGTACCAAGCCCGTTCCTGGAAGCTCAGCAGAGATGCATGCACAGAAGAAGCAGCAGATTGGAATTGCGCTGGCGCAAAAAAGAACGTGAGAACAAAGCGCAGAAAGGCACGCTGATGCTTAGAGATGGGGGAGAGAAACTCTGCTTCTAGACGCCTTGAGATCTTTCAAAAGATATGCAGCGACTCGCTCAGTTTGCGGAGGCACTCGAGCGCCCGTTTGGCCAATATGGACCCCAACTCTCGGGTGTTCTACGAGTTCACTCTGTCTCCTGGTGTTTTCAAAGAGCCTTCCAAGCCCCTAGCCGTCCTGAATGCCCACCTGTGGGTCACTAAGGCACTCGTAGGCCTCCTGGAGCAACTGAAAGTTGTAGGTAGCTTGAGGGTCGTTTGGGTTTTTATCGGGATGCCTTTCTATGGCTGTTCGGCGATAAGCCTTTTTGATTTCTTCGGGGGTGGCCGAGGAGGGCACCCCCAAGATAGCATAGTAACACTCTCGTGACGAAGACATTCTACAAGCACTAAAGCCTAAACTCTGAGCCTCTTGGCACCAGTACTTGTCAAAAGAGCCCCAAACTTTGCGCAGAGGCTAGCGAAGACCGAAAAAAATCTGCGGTGCCCCAAATAGTCTCGCTTTGCCTCCTCTTGCTTCAGCTGCTGCTCTTAACCCTGCTGCTGCGTTTCAGTGTCAGCGCAGGGAAAGCGAGACCCGCGACAGCGCACCAAGCTGCCGCAACCAGGGGCCCCTCCCGCCCATATAGCCCCCTGATACTTGTCCCTATGCTATTAAAACGCGTAAATCTTCGGGCCAAGGCTTTGTTTTCAATGATACCAGCATGCAGCAATTGCGGGCCCCTCTCCCCAGTGGGGCCCCGAGCAGCAGAAGCCCCGCTTCACCCTCGGATACCGCGCTCAGGAATAACGTGCCGAAAATAAAGATGAAATTTTGTTTACATCCAAATTTAAAAGTCATTGCCAAATTTCCTTCGGTCGTCAGAGCTCACCGGCGGCTGCAAAAGCACCCATAGAACACGGAAAGCCCTTGTTTGCGAGGCTTTTCCAACTAGTGCATGCTACGTAGGTCGATTTAGCTGTAGTGGTAAGTAGTCTTTTGTAAAATTTATTACATGAATTTTTATCAGTGTCTTAAGAAGCTCAAATATTTGTAACGTAGAATCGGGGGCTTGTCTGGCCGAAGTCCGTAGCACCAACGGGGCGCTCAAATCTCTGCTTTCCCGAGCGTGCAAACCTAGAGTTCAAAAGGTGGTGGGTGGCCTCTGCTGGAAAAGTCAAACTCCAGCCCACTGAATGGGAGAAATCCTTTGCCTACAGCCGAAATGCGAGCCTGCCCGAGCAGCCCGGTCAGCTCTTCGGGGCCAAAGAAGCCGGCAAGGGGCCCCCAACACAAAGGATCTTTTGGCTGTGGGCACAAGCAAGGGCAGCAACATAGCCCTCTGCCTGTTGGATGTGCAGCAGGTGCTTGTGTGCAGCTCAAGAGGCTGTGAGCAGTTGCAGCAAACCCACAGGCTGCGTTATCTGCTGGCTGGGGCATTGGAAGGTTTGAAGCCCAGCAAAAGTAGGGGATCTCTTGCATGGGCGAAGTACCGGGTGCGTTAGGAAACAAATGCGACAGGAGACCCTTAAAATTTTAACGGTGCCTCTGCTAAGTTCTTATACCACCTGCACAGCGCGTATCCCTCGCCAATTATACAAATAACACGAGTTACGAGGGCTTGTCGGGCGAAAGAGGGCCCACAAAGGGGCCCCGAGACACAACAGGGGTCCCCACAGAGGCTTCGTTGGGAGGTTTGTAACAAACACCCCCGCCGTAGTTTGTTACGGCAGGTTGCCTTGTCGGTGTTTCATTTTCTTTACTATGAACAGTAGGACCCTTTGGCCCCCCTTGGAGTCCTCCCTCCAAGCCCTTGTCTCCCACTGCATGCCTTCTCGGCGTGCTTTCAATGTTTGCTGTGTCTCCCCTCCCACTGCCGCTGCTGCTGCTGCTTGCGCTGCTGCTAGCTGGAACAGACGCAGCAGCAGCAGCAGCAGGAAGGCCCCTGCTGATGACGTACCGCAGCTGTCTTAGTTGCACAGCCTGGCAAGCCAACTCCTCTCTTGTTTCCTGGAGCGCCTTGTAGAGGGCACGGCACTGAAGACAGCCGGTTGGTATGTACACAAATGGTCTGGGGAGGCCCCCAGAAGAAGTCCCTTGGGGGGCTCCTTGAGCTCCATCCCGAAGGCTATCTGAAGAAAGGTTGCCTGAGCCAGCCCCTGCAGGAGCCCCAGGGGCTGGTGCTGCTGCTTGTGGGGCCGCAGCGTCCGAATCTGGGGCCCGAACGCGCAATTTTTTGGACTTTTGGGCCCCTTGGGACCCCGGGATCTCTGGCGCTGGAGGCAGCTTGCGGGCCCTCCTAGCAAAGGCAAGGGTGGCAGCTGTCTGCCTGTAGAAGGTGGCTCCAGGCGCACAAAGACATATGACCGAAGTCCTGCAGGGGCCCCCTAAGCAGTCACTCAACAGGCGGGTTAGCTTGGACTCCCGCAAGCCCAAGTACACGGGCGCTTGCCGTCGGGGGGCCCCAGGGGCCAGCGAACCGGAGCCTCCTACAACTCCTTCGGCCTCGCCACTCGGGGTAATAAGGGCCGCGTCCTGCTTGGGCTGCTGCTGTTTCTGCTGCTGCTGCTGCTGCTGGGTGAGGGCCTTTACTACCTTTGACAGGGCGAGGAGGCTGCGGTTGATGCTGCCACCTTCTCTTTGAGTAGCACTGTTTCCTTGCGCTCCCCCTGCCCCCTCTGAGCCTGCCAAATCCACCAAACTGAAGACAGACGCACGCCGGTGGACTCGGGACGAAAAGCCCGAGCCGCTGCTGTCCGCTGAGGTGCCTTCCTCACTAGAACCCCCAATGACAGCTGCTTCGGTCCCTGCTGCTGCTGCTGCTGTAGCCGCAGGTGTCGTTGCCGTTGTTGCTGGTGCTGGTGACAAAACAATGCGAAGAACAGCGTGGGAACGAGATGAGCGCGCATTTGCTGTTGTTTCTGCTGCGTGCCTCTGCTGCTCTCCCTTCTGCACCAGAGAAAGCGCCTCTGCCAGGCAAGACACGGGACGGCAGGACAAAGAGCCCATGTCAAGAGTTCCTGCCACCGCACAGACGCAAATCTTTTGACCCTCAGTGAGCAGTTAATTCCATTATTAGTTCAGACGTTACTTGCAATTTATTCACGTGAAGCTGGAATCCCTAGAAATCCGGCCAGCCTTGTGGCGATGAGTAAGTCATCGAGCCTTGTACGCACCGCCCGTCACACCATGGAATTCAATTGTTTTTGAAACTCCTGTTTACGAAAATGAATAAGAATTCGTAACTGGGGTGTAGTCCCCAAGCTGATGGCCTGGTAGCTACGCAAGGCTGGGCAAGTGGCCTAGCTATCTAGTGGTTCATTCTAAGGCACTGAGTTCAGATATTAGGAAGTAAACTGACCATCGGCTCTCTCACATAGTGCAATGGGCCTCTTTTGCCTTGCGTCGCAGGCTCCCCCCGCAGCAGGGCCTCCCGAGTTCCCCGCTGCAGCTCCCTGCAGCAAATCCGTGACAGTTTCCTGGTAGACCTCAAGCATGGACAGGGACACTGAGAAGGGGTCACTTGCTGCTCTCTGGTCTCTCTCCCTGAAAATGTCTTTCAGTGCTAACTCTACAATCCCCTTCTCGCCGACCCTCTGGGGCCCCTTCTGTGGGCCCCCTCTTGCGGAACCTCTGTGAGGGGCCCCGCCAAACATTGTGTGTGTTTTGCCGCTCGCCGTCTGCCCGTAGGCCAGGACGGCTGCGTTGAGGCCGCCCAGTGCAGCAGCAACGAGGCCCTTAACCAGTTGGGCATAAACTTCGGCGTTGGATGCCTGTGGAGGGAAGACGCAGTCTGCCTCGAAACAGACATCTTTGAATCCGTCCCATACTCTTTGGGCCCCCCCTTGCCTCCCTACCCCACACAAAGGGCCCCCGTCTTGTGGGGGCCCTCGCCGGGGCCCCAAATCCAGAGCCCACGGAGCTGCCAGCACCCAGCCGTCGGCTTCCTCTTCCCTGAGGGCCCAGTCAGCATCTGTAGGGCCTCGCCTAGCCCATGGGGGCCTTCTGACGCTGCAAGATAGGCTCCCAGGAGCACCCTCACAAAGACTCGCTAGAGAGGAGGTGGAGGAGAGCACCCCGCCGCCCTCTCCAGACGATCCTTCGGCACTTTGAGAGGCTCCAGAGGCGCCAGAGACAGGCTGTGGGTTTGTTATGTGCTTTAGTGTTGGGGATGTCCCAGGAGAGGGTCCTGGAGGAGCCCCTGCGGAACCCCCTGGGGGTACTCCAGTTGAGACCGCACTAGGTGAGACCCCACGGCGGGATGAGATGGGGGATACCGCCACAGGACGGAAGCGAACACCTACGAGAACTTGACGAGTTACATGTCGGCTACTGCTGCTGCTACCGCAGTCACCGCTGCTTCCCTCACAGCCAGTGCTGCTGCAGTTGTGGCTGCTGTTGCTGGTTGCAGGCGGTTGTCTTAGTGGGGGCTTACTCGAAGAAGCCTGCTTTGGAAGAGGGCCGGCGAAGGGAGACTCCTCTGAACCTGTTTGCGCCTGCGTCGACTGAGTCATCGGCAGCCTAAACCTCAAATCACAGATACCCTACAAGCCGTGGCCCTGCGCCCTATATCCCCGTTCCCCGAAATCTCGGGGGCACGCACAGGAGCTCAAGTTCCGACACGAAATCCGACTGTTTTAATGTAGGCTCCAAGGTTTGTTATGTAGGGTTCCGTGTTTTGGGGCTGCCATGGGCTACACGCCAACAATGGGCATCAACAAGTCAGGAATGGAAGAGCTGAATGCTAAGCGCTGTTTTCGTACCTCCATGAGCTAGATCTTTCAATCTGTGTGCTTTGGGCTGCGCATTTTAATGTTTATCGCTGCGAGCGTAGTTTTCCTTGCTGCTGGGTCTGGTGGGGTTGGTGTTTATTGCACGGCTCCCGTAGAGCCATAGCAGTTTCGGGGCTTTGTCTCCTTGTTAAGTATTAAAGCCAATAGAACTTCCAAAGTAAGCTTTTTACACCGTTAGTTGGCAGTTTTCACGACGGGATCGAGGTCACGTCAACTAGAGTAGTTTGACAAGCCTTATGACGCCCAAGGCACGCACTGTTCAGCGGAGCTAACCCATGGGCGGAATTAAAAGTAGCTAGTTAAGAATTCTGGACACATTTTGAATTTGTTGGTGATCCAGAAGGGCACTCACTAATGTGGCTGAGGCGTGAGCCACTGAAGACTCAAGAAAATAAATGCTAGAGGCAGCGCGGCCCTCCTATGCAGCAGAGCCAAGGGCACTGAACCTCCTAACAAATTAAATTCCCTTTCATGCAAGAGCTGGACACACCGACCCCCGCAGATGCCGTACTCATTCACGGGGGGAGAACCACATCGTTCCCTGCCTCATGTTGTAGTTTCTCTGGCAAAGCCTAATCAATGCTGCCCGACTAAAGAGACCTACTTGGAGCGTCTTGAGAGATATTGTCATTGGCATATTGGTGGCACGCCTTGTTTTAGCCCTGCCTCCCGCGAAAAGCGAAGACAGGCATATCCCCTTATACGAGTAGACAGTCAGTCAGCGTCCACACCTGCGTAGGCTCTCTCCTATCCTTATACGCCTTCGACCCAAAGTCTGTTAGCTTGTGTCTCTACTATTATTGCAATGCCACGCCTGAGACAGACCATGAGGGTCTTCGACCTCAGGCTCTACACACTGTTGCGCTAGGGCGCGTGGGCCCGAATAAGCCAAAAAATGACCTTGTTTGATATTATTAAACAAGGCGGCACAGCAGCATTGACCCAACTGGGAGCATTTCCAACCTTTTGCATCAAGGTTTTGTCCGGTACTAGCCATGATATGGCCTAAATTTGCCTTAACTATTCAGTAGGCAACTTTGAGCAGCGCGACGTTCTTACAGTAACTCTGCATGCTTCGTTGCATGCACTGAGGGAGAGGCGCGTAGTCATGCACTGGAGTGCGTTCACCTTTCGTGAATTGAAGCCATTTTGAAGCGCACCAGCAGGGTTGCGGCTGCAGCTCTAATAAAAAGACTACCACGCAAAGGTTCTCAAGCAGCAAGAATGAGTAAGCGGAACTCTGCAAACAAAATTAAACCGAGATATGATTCCCAAGAGACCACAGGAGAGAATAGTTACGAGGGGAACTTGGAAACATCAAGATCTTTGCCTGGGCGCTTGTTTGCTTGACACAGGCGGCGAATTCTTCACGAAGCCTCCCGAACTCGTCTCTCAACTCGACAAATTTTCTGGTATAGTAGATGCTTCTGACCCTCACATATCCATATGTTCGCTACAGCTATGCCACCACATAGATAGAAGCTTATCTAGTTTACTAGATAGCTATCGACCAGTGCATAGGTATTACGCCTAGTCACTTTTTTGTGTCTCTCTCTGACAGGTCAGTGCTTTGCAAGTGAAGTTGATGCTTCCATTGAGCCAAAAAACGCACATAAACTCATTAGTGTGCACTAATAAAAGGCACATCTAGCTTTGTGTTCTTGAGGCACATTATGAAGTCAACATAAGGTTGCACTCACCGTAGGACTGTGTGTGCAGCAAAGGCTCACAAAGTCTAGCCTTTCCGCAACCGTCTGCGCTGCACGTCTTCAACTTCTCCGCCGTATTTCTTTCTAGACCCCTCAGAGCTCCATCCAGGTGGGGCTTCCCCCAGCCTATTCGGCAAGCTAGTTAGCCCCCTGGGTGCCCACCTATTCAGCATGTAGTCAATTCGTTTGCTGACAACGCGGCTATGCGAGACAAAGAGGTAACTTTCTCAGTACTCTAAGTGTTTCCTTCCACCCCGAGCTACGTTGAGGCGCGCAACATGTCGGAGACCGAAGCAAAGGATATTTCCTTTTTTTAGGCGTTTTAAACGTGCAAAAAAACGAAGGCCAACTACTCGAACATCCTCCACAAGCCGCGTATGAGGCTGCACGCGGAAACGCGCAGTTCGGAACTTTGTCACTGGGCAGGTGACGGGTGCAATCAAGGGCGCCTGTGGACACTTTATTGCTCCTGCAACAAGCTTTTGAACTCGAATTTCCAGCGCTGGCATGCATGCATGCATGAAGCGCATACATAGGCCACAATATGTCAGAGGGCCACGAGGTGGTAGCACAACAATAGAGAACGCACACATACAGAGAATAGCAAGTAAATGGGACAACTAGACAACAAGACGCCTGATGAGAAGTCAGAATGGAGGTAAGCACCTTTGCTACATCGTGTCCCCACAGATGAGTATTCGCATTTTGATGATGCTACAAATAAGCATCCGGTGCGCAATTCTCATCCGCCTTCCCTTCGGCGGGCGTTCCACAAATAGTGGGCTCAGCCGCTTCTCCCTGCTGCCCATTTGACTCTACGGTTTCGCTTTGGTCCCCTTCATCTGGCTGACCTTCCCGCAACTCGCTAGCGGAGGCCAACACAGGCCCCCCTTTGGAACGAAGGGCAAACCTCACTGGGCCTCTGTGGGGTGTGGAGTGCTTCCGGGCACTGTGCCTTCCTGAGGCCGCGAAGGGGCCCCCTACCAAGGGTCCTGAAGCTGTTCTGCGTGCTCCATTGGCCCAGGCGCTGCAAAAGCTTCTGCATGTGCAGCTGCAGCAACTGCTGCTTCGACTCCCGGCGGGAGCACAGTCGGTTAGACGGTAAGAGAGGAGCGACAGAGTCAGCGGAAAGGCTGGCGATGCATCTCCCAAGGCAATGGCAAGGGCTGCCGCCGGGTCTCTCCTGTACGGAGAGCTGGGACAGGAAAGGGCAGCAAAACGAACTCTAGCTGCTTCCCTTGCTTGTTGGCTTTTGAAGCTGCTGATAGTTGCTGCCTCAGCAAGTGCAGCGGAAGCAGCCGCGGACGCCGCAGCGGACCTTGTGCTGCTGCTGCTGCTGCATGGTACAAAGCGAGATGTTGGTGTTTGCTTATAAGAAGCAAACGACAACTCTGCAGGAAGCTCAGCGCTCCCCTGTTGGCCCCAGGAAGGAAGCCTTTCAAGAGGCTGGGCTGCTCCCCACAAGTGGAGTTGGCCCAAACGTCCTGTCTCACCTGTGCCAATTGTCCTCTGTTTCATGTCTACCCACGAAGCATCTCCCCCCATAAGCGTATTGTCTAAAGACAAGCTGCCACTTTTGTCTCTGGCATATCCTGAGTCGGTATCTGCCTGAGTCTCAGGCACGTTCCTAGTGTCCCCTGAGTCCTCATCTGCTTCTTCTGCCTCTCTAAACTTTCTAAAGAAAGAGGCGCTGCGGCTTGTTTGCTGCCGTAGCAGAGAATAGGCCCTTTCCAGGGACATCTGTGGGGCCAAGACGGCCTCCTGGGCGTCCGCGATTAAGTCGACAGAGAAGCATACGTCGAGCAGCCTGAGACAACAGATGCACATGCAAATTCACACAAATCTAAGCCAAACTGGCAACCGATAACGCTACTACTGCTGCCTTGCTAATGATTAAGACCTGTGAGGTGGTAGGGCAAAAATACGCAGAAACTGTTTGGTTAAACGCAGCAACGAGCAGTGCAGCAACATCAGTGGAGTCGAATATCTCAATGGAACACGACTCAGCAGCGGCAGCAGCAGCGAGGTAATCAGAAACAATATTTACAGTAGCAGCAGCAGCTGCTGCGGCGGCTTCCGTCTCACGCATGTAGAATACGCGGCTTCTTTGTCGCATCTCCGCAAAAAATGTCGTCCCCTTTCTCTGGAAGATGTTCAGACACGGGAAAGCAGCGACAGTGCAGCAGGCAAAATACGAGGGCCCAGATATTCATAAGCAGATTGTGATATAAGTCCTGCAACAGCAGCAAGAGAAGTACCACCAGAAGCAGCAGCAATGACGAGACAATGATGATTTGCAGCGAGAAAGCAGCAGAAAAGAGGAACAGGCAAAAATAGAAGGCAGCACATTTCTACGGGTGTGGAAAACGATAAAACAGGACAAGCAGCAGGAAAAAAAGAGGAAAATGACTTGTGCAGACTCTAGCAGCAGAAGCAAATGGATCAGCAGGAGCTGCAGTATGCGAGCAGCAAGGGGTGTGCGTACAATGCCCTGGTCTAGTCCCATTCCTGATTCCCCGCCCACGGCGGGAAGGGCCCCAAGCAGCCCCAGGAGCCACACGAAGAGGCGTTGCCAGCTGTTGGTGAAGACAAGAAGTTGAATGAGAAAGAATTTACTTCGGGGCTCATATGGCTGCAGGTACGGCTCCGTGATAATGTAAAATTGAGACAGAGACAGCATGGAGACGAACATAGATACTGACAAGAGCAAGCCCAAAAATGCTTCAAACAACAAAGCCGCAGACATTGGAACAGATGGGAACAGTGATGGTCTCGCAGTCAGCTCCAGCTCGGGTCTACCCCCCGTTCCTGATCCAGCAAATGTTGTTTTCTCTTGTGGAGCTACTAGAGAGCCCCGAAGTGCTTTCCCTGAAGCTATTCCCCCATGAGCATCTGTCTTAGTGGTTTTATTTTTCTTCCCGCTGTCTCGATGATGCTCCCCTGGGTGAAGTGGGACTGTCTGCGATTGTGGGGTCTTATTCTCTCCCCACAAAGGCTCTTCATTGTTCCCTA